ATTTTATAATATACATTAGCTTATACAAATCATGCAGTTCCGGATGCTCCTGAAACTTTCCTTTCTTACAAGTCTTAACCTCGCAGTGCATACATATATATCCTGCTTGCATGGAATGAACCACGGATCATCCATATTCTAGGACATCGGTATACTACATCGGTACTCGATATGTATGTATATGCCTCGCCCAATTACATCGATTGCTCGGCTACCTAGCATCTCACGTTTTTCAGCATGGCCCAGGCGATGCAATTCAGGGGCACTACACCACCGACCACCGACCACCGACCACTTGGAGATGTCAGCTCCTTCAGCCCACCATTGAAGAACATACCACCAATTCGTCGTTTTCATTGGTAGTTTCTTGCATTCCTTCAGCTACACATATCTTCGTATTTGGCAAGAGAGCTGGCAAGGATTTATTACTATGATATCAACAAGATATCACTTCCAATCAGCAGAACAGCCCCATGTGTAACAGAGCGCCATTCCGAGAATGTGAGCGTACTACAAAAGTCTCGCTAGGCCTTGCCGATGATTATGGCAAGCTTCCTGGCATATTTAGATCCAACAGTTACTAAGCCCATGTCATCTCACAAGCCCGGTCCAGCTATGAGAACCGGACCCCATGTTTCATGAACCCGTTTTCGGCAACCCTGTGGCTGACTGTCTTGATAGTTCAACTCCAATTCTGCATGGGTGATACGGTCCGCGAATAGCCCAGCGTTGGTCGATAAACTGTTTATTGAACAATACCAGCTGACTAGTGCCGCTGGTGGGAACTTGGCGATCTAACGGTTGAAACCTGTCCAAAAGTTTTACCTTGTTTATGATCATGAACGTTGAAGTCATTGAAATTTGGTACGGCATCAATTCTACCCGAGGCACTCATAATAACAGATCCGTGAGTAGCTAGGTCTGATGCTCCCGCACCAAGTTCATTTCCATCTATATTGTTTCCCATGCCTATAGATATATGGACGATGTATTTTGTAACCCTTCAGTCGCCCCATACTAGCTTCCAAGGTATCTAGTATCATCAACCCCAAATGGCCCCCAGGGAGACGAATTATTCAACAACTACATAGTAGGGGAATCTCCACATTACTCGTGTGTCTCGGTTAACTGCCTAAGGTAATTATGTGCCACTGCGTGGCAGGTTACTTATTTATAGCACCCATGCCCTGTTTTTTCAACATCCGGTATATACGGCTCATTGGTTGACTTAGTTTTAACGACACTTACATACACGCACAATGGCGGGGCTGGGCGCGGGTAACACGTAACAGTTAACAATTCGCAGTGACATAGACGGTTTCCGAATAAATGGACTCAGTATGCTACTCATTACAGTCGCCGTTCTACGGATAATGTGATGGATCGATTATTACTGCTGTAGAAAACGCACGGAGGCTTAAATCCTGATCCCATCTATGCTACCCAACTGCATCCTAGAACGAAGTGAGCTTGCGTGTTCACGTGCGTTGCCGCTAACCTGCATACATATACTGTAGTCAGCCTGCAAGTAATACTCTGTAACGAGAGTAGCGAGGCGTCTAGTCTGCAGGGGGTATGGTGGACCATTAGTGCAACTGTGCCAAAATCAAGAAAATTGATTGCACTATGTCTAATAAGGTAATAGTAACATTAGATGTACAGTATAGGCTCGACTATTTGCGCTGTATACTTTTTACAAGGTAATACATACCTTTTTTTGACCTTATACTACAATAACCTAACCAATATTTATCTAAAACTTTTAAAAAAAACATTAATATTTTAATTATAAAATAACGAAAATTTTAATTTAGGTTATATATGATTTAACCTAATATTGGTAAAGATATTAAAGAAACTACGTAATTATATAAGCATTACTATACAGCCAGTGTTTCCACAGATTTAAAAGATCAGCCAATAAAATTGAATATTGATATCTGGGCTACCCCCCTTTCGCTATCCGGGCTACCTTCCCTACTTATACACAACATACAGCACATTCAAATAACTTTACGAAAACAACAATCTAGACGTTATAATTGGTATTATTTTATAGCCGTAATTGATGCGAAAATAATGATTTAAGTTGCATTTAAATCGGCCTCTTGGCTGTTATGTTGTAGTAGAATCAAATAGCGCTTGCCTCTCCAAGCGCTTGTCTGGAGAGGCAAGCACGTGATACCCTTTAAAAGCACCTCAATGGAGTCATTCCAAACAGATTCCAGATACTTTAATAGCAATATAATACTCAATACACATCGCATAAACATGCAGTTTGGTCCATTATTTTCGCATCAATTACGGCTATAAAATAATACCAATTATGTTGGGATGTAATTACGTAAGGATAGTCACGTGGTAACACGTGACTATTCCCTACACAAAAGGCAATTCTTTCTAGGTAGCACCCACACACACAATTTATAATCAGTACAACAACAGTTATCGCGATAAGCCTCATTTGTGTTTTGCTTCTTTATTAGGTGTATACCGCTACCCTACCTTGTCATCCGACATTGATTAATAGCCGAAAAATAAGTATGCTATAGATTAACAAAGATAGAAGAAAACGCAGGGCGGATCGTATTTTTATCGGCTTTTTAGAGCGATATTTACGAAACATCTGCGTTATTTCTTGACGAGAAGAGATAGGCATGCTATCATATCCTTGTCGGCTTTTAGAGCAATGCTTACGATAGCTACCTATGCTAATTTTTAAGATCTTAAAGGCTTAATGAAGATCTGCGTCTATCACGCAACGACGATTCCGATCGTGGTCTTGCCTGAAGGCAAACAGCAACGAGATCTCCGGACTTAAAAACTGTGCGCCCGATTACGAGAGAAGGAATCCGCCAACAGCTAAATTATTTACCCGTCAAATAACCCATCTACGTCCATCACGTACGACGATCCCGACCGCGTTTAATCGTATTTGAGGCTTCGTTTTTCACATACAATAAGTTAACATACGTTGGCTGGTAGCTGTACAAATATTAAGGCTACTAGTCAAGTCACTAGAAACGTACGTTTGTAATATAAGTTAACGATACCGATTCATCACGAGAAGAATCCGCCAACAAAAGCCAAAATAGCCTCGTCCCCAGCCAGACGATTCACAATACGAAAATAACCTCGTCCCCAGCCAGACGAGACCCTTACTTCGACCGCTTTAGCCTGCCCTAGCCAGCCCGACAAGAGATCCCACATACAAGAGATTCAACCACCTTTACCTCAACCGTTTCAGCCTGGCCCAGCCTGCCCGAGCCCGTTACTATTACGATAGATTAAGACCTAGCCAGCCAGACGAGATACTCGATTACATACAATATCCAACCACAAGAGATCCTACCACGAGAGACCATATTAGATGAAAAGATCTGACAAGATCTAATCAGATAAGAGGTCTAATGCGAGATCAAATCAGACGAGGAAATCTAACAAAATCTAATCAGATGAGAGATCCAACGAAAGATCCGACCACCTACCTATTGACAGTTACGTCATAGTATAAAAAAGACGGACTAAAGGCAAGAAAAGAGAAGAAATTGTCAGTGTTGGATTAGTTAAATTGTATGTAATTACGTCATAGCAAAAAGGAGGAGGAAAGAGAAAAGTTGCCAGTGTTGGGATGTAATTACGTAAGAATAGTCACGTGGTAACACGTAACTATTCCCTACACAAAAGGCAATTCTTTCTAGATAGCACCCACACACACAATTTATAATCAGTACAACAACAGTCATCGCGATAAGCCTCATTTATATTTTGCTTCCTTATTAGGTATACACCGCCACCCTACCTTATCATCCGACAAATTATAACGTCTAAATTGTTGTTTTCGTAAAGTTATTTAAATGTGTTGTATGTTGTGTATATAAGTAATGAAGGTAGCCCGGATATTAGTGCTTATAATTATGTAATAAACCTTATTATTTTGTATATAGCGTACTGTGCACTTAGCGTTGCTTATTATATTACCTTATTAGACATAGTGCAACCAATTTTCTTGATTTTGGCACAGTTGCACTAATGGTCCACCATAGGGGGCTATGTGCCTGCGTTAGTATACGCATCGATGATTCTTGGATCATCTAATTTTACTACTGAAAAGGGGCTTTCTGATCGCTTGGGTGTTCATTGCAACTATACGACCTTATACTTTGACGACCGACAATGATTCACCCTACTTTAGCTCGCCGTCAACAGCTACTATAATTATCCAACTACTATTTACCGAGTCTATACCGATGCGCGGCTTGATTCCACCTCAAGTCGTTTTGCGCGGAACAAGTAGCACAGGAAGGATTACCGATATAGACAACCGAGAAGTCTGCCTGCTTCTTTTACGTCTACTATCAAAACTCGAGGGATCTTGACGCAAGTAGTTCGCGTTCCACAACCTACTTATTTCGCGAAAATACCATGTGACCAAGTATCTTCGTTGGGGGTTACGGAGATACAATACAATACTTAATGTCGTGGATTGGATGCCTCGCGGTGGGGTAATCTATCCTTGTTTTCTCTGCAGCTACTATATACCTTCGAGTCCGATTTGCTGCGCCAAAGCCTGCTCTCTTCTACGTAGCACCCAGGAGGCGCCCTGCATAAGGCTGGCTGTGCTATGGCAGTATAATTATTCCCGGCAATGCAAGAGCTTTTAAAGAAGCATTCAACCTGGGAGTATTTGACTCCAGAGTGCCTGCAGGGCAAACACGTTGGCACTAGGGCAGAGATCATGCTAATTATGGTATATTCAACTTTCTCGCTAGCCAATTTTGCTTCTTCGCATATCTAGAGTATGATACTAATGTATGATACCAAACGTGCTGTACCGGCTATCAGAGTTGGCACTCGGCTTGCCTTGCCACTTACATGACACTACGTTTTCCTTCCGATAATGGCTAGACTGAAAACATCATCCAGAGTCGGATCCATAATAGTGCTACACCAGGCCTCCATCTGATCACGTTGATGGAGGTTATGAAAACCTAATAGCGATGCTGAACCGTAAGTTCCAACAGACGGTTGATATGGCTGCCAAGTCGTCGTCCAGCCCCACGCTTCGCGGCTGGCCAACAAATAAGAAAGACCATTTAACCATCGAGTCTTTTCAACATAAGAATATTCATGATTGGCTCACGCTACGTTTCCCAGATCTGCTAGTTTTTGGGGCCATGCATGCGATTTGGACGGGTACAACGGACGGCAAAAATGTGCAATGAGACGCGGGGGCGCTTCTTTGGCAACACACCCCCGGTCGCGTGATGTCGCAATCCGCCTACTGTTTCAGTATGCGCGATGATCTTGTCGACTAACTGATCATTCGGCAAACTAGCGCGGTCATCTGCGCGCTTCCTTCGGCTTCGGCTTCGGCTTCAGTTCTTGTTGCGGAACCCTAGTCGCACAAGCTGCGGCACGGCCCGGCGCGGTTATCTTCAACCTGCTTAAGGCATGTATCTATAGCGGGTTAGTCGTGTGCTTGCTAACTAAGCCTATTATGAGAGTCTACGTGTAGTAAGATATTGCTATGCGAATGTGACGATGAGGCCGGAAATTAGGGCTATGAGTTGTCATGCAGGAGCTTTTAAGCCAACTGCAAGCTAAACTACGGAATACCTCCTACGTCTACATAATTGCTATTTAATTCGGTGTTAAGAAACTTGCAACTAGGCGATTACTATGCTTCCGTCCCACGGTCCCAGCATAGCCGACACGCCCCCATAAAAATCATAGGAATTCCCTTTACCGTTTACGGTTCCTTTTCCGCGGCTACGCCCTAAACCTCGATTGTTATAGTCCTTTTCTTTAGTTCTAGAATAGTGGTATCTTGAACTTGTAGAATGCCACCTAATACACATAGGGTTAATATATATATTTCCCAAAAGTAACACAGGGGCTGAAATGTTTCAAGCCCACCTAAAACCAAGTTATACCCAGGAACTGCCTTTCTCAGACGTATCGGCAGTCCTCCTCACCGAGCCAGCATGTCCCCGTTCCTGGATCCCTCGGTGGACTGCATGGTTGCATCTTAGGCCTGCAGAATTACCCTTCGACATCTATCGGCTTTCCCGTAATGGTATCACCGATGATAAGAGTTATTTCGGTGTTTTGATAATTGGCTGCACTGCAGAAATGTTTAGCAGTTGGGGGTAAATGTGGCTCTGTTTCTGGCTGCATTTACTCCTAAACATCTAGAGGAAAGCCCCCAACGATCTGGATCCGCGGCCGCCCCTCTTCATGTCAGGGACGCTATTACGAGGTATCCATTCAAATGTCCGTGCACGTCTATAAGTTGGAATGTCGTACGAGAATGGGACCTGCGTATAAGATCAACCAATATCTATAGCATATTATTATACCCTCTAATATTATGCCCATGACCCCATGAAACTTGAAACTTATCAAGGGGGACCGGGCTCTTGCTCGTATAGAAGAGCATGAGCTTGGTATGTGAACTAAGGGCGACTTAAGCAGGATGTCTTGGAATCAGACGCAGGTTTCGAATATAGTCCGCGATAGCATATACATTCTCCGTGATTCATGTTACTAAACATCTTACATTAGGTAGGCATTCGTATACGAGAAGTCCGTGATCGGAGTCGAACGGGCGTAGCCATCCTCAGAAGGGGGGGGGGCTATACCTCAGATATTACCTATCTGCTTCCCGGGGTAAAGGAAGTGCGTTTGCTCAAAAAGGAATTGTGAATATTAGTGTTATGAGATATATTTAGCCCCAGTGCTATCTCTCGCAGTGATTATCGTAGCACGTAGAGTAAAGGTTTGATGACCCAGGGGGTTATGCCTTCTTACTCGAATACGGATATACACTTCCTTGCTATGCTCACGATGTTCAAAATTTTGGCGAAATAAAACTGGTCCCTCTCCTTTTAAAATATATAATACATATAACTATATACATACTTGCTGAATTAGTAAGGGGTGAGGTTTATATTAAGCACATAAGGTAGATGGTGGATCCTAACTTCTCGAGAGGTAAATCGAGTCTCTAGTGTTCAATGGGTGTTGTTATTATTATGCCCAAGCTTTATGAGGTCCTAGGTCGAGTACTCGAAGGCTTGGGCAATGTCTAACTAGCTAGCTTACCTATTAAAATATTAGATATTTTGAAGTAGAGGGTGATGTCACTTTCTCCAAGAATATTAAATAAAGATCATGTACACACGGCGATGAAGGCTTCAAAGGCCCTAGTCCCCTCTTATGGTACTGTAGGGTTAGAATATATCAGGTATCACAACGTGGACCTCAAAGGCGTGGAAATAACTTCGTTATTTCTACGAGGTGCTCTGGGCCTAGAATAATGAGGCCAGTGAAATATATCCTTTGTCCTATATGTCTCAACTAGAATCCTAATAGGTTTCTGGATATTAGCCGCCGGTCGAGTGACTACAGGGTCCTTACGGTGACAAGAGGCTTGGATCTTAACCAAGCTGGGAACTACCTATATCATGGCAATGGTCTACCTAATTATAACATCTTAACTCTTGACTGCCTGAGTATTCTTGATGAGGAATGGGAAGACATCTAGGGAATGGGTAGTTGATGGAGTCGATAAATTCTCGTTGCATTATCATTTGCCACTGAGTTAATACTAACAAAAAGGAGCTTGTTGGGGATAACTACGGAATTTACAGAGGTTGATGTGGTGTTACAATCGTACACCTTACTATCAGGCCATGCGCCTGTTATTAGTTATGCTTGTTAGAATGGCGTTATGATGCAGCCAGAACTTAGTTTCCACCGTTATCGTGATTAATATAATATGTCAGATATATCTAGTATTTCTTTCATGATGACCTTGGACAGCTCTTGTATTTAGCTTAATGATATCCAGCTTGTTGCTATTTCATGGCCTTAAAGTCGCTATTAGAGGCTGCGAGAGGCCACTAGCATGGTGATTATAATGACTATAGTGCTTGCTACTAAAGTATCTGTAACAAAGTTAGGCACATCAATATGTTTACACCTAATCAGAGCGCTTATGGGATGAACTTCGAGTTGATGAGATTAAGGGGTATTAAGATATATAGAGTAACATGGCCATGAAAATATTTAGTTTTTTCTTTTAATACAAGGCTATAAAGAAATATAAACTCTCCTTATCATTAATAATATAGGAATAATCAAGCCCGTCACTTGTCCTACAATGCAGTCATATCTTAGTTGCCGAATCGTTAGGTATTAGATGGAAGATGGTATACTGTTTAGAAGCACGGCATTTTAATGAGATATTTATACACATTTTATTAGGTAGTAACGTCATATAAGGGGTGATTGAATAGAGTTTACATGTAAGGTCTATCATAAGGCCAGCAAACCAGAGCTACCCGCAACCTGATTCGTATTCCCGGCTACGCGGCTGAGCACGATAGGTTCGGATAATATAGTTCAGAAGAAGGGGGCCGCGAATACAGCAACCTGATTATTGGTTAATAAACTCTTATCCCGTAACTAATTCTCCATCTCTTAGAGTTGTAAGGAAGAAGGTACCTATCATAGTATGTCATTGCGCTATTACACAAAAGACAAGATCCCGCCTCTATATACGATGCAAAGGCGGAATATAAACTTGCCGGCCCCTAATAGTTCTCATTGGCAGGAAGCTTGTTTTGACTTATAGACACCCGAGAATAGAAATAGTTGATGGCTACCTTAATTGACTTATAATAGTTCTGCGACAACTTACCATCAGCACGTGAGAGCCAGGATCCTTCCTATTGACGCTGCCAAGCACCAGCGTTTGACGGTACTGTATAGTACTGTATAGTACTGTGTCGACCTGAGCCAAGAGAAGTAGGTAAGCTGATATAGGTAATGCGACAATCGGCACGCAACCTGCCGGAAGGAATAGTGACACGGATATTTGGCTCTATGATTGGTCTATTCATAGCGAAAGGTTTGAACCATTCAGCCACACGCGTAAGAGTCAGACGATGGTAACCTACAGTAGGTACAATGTCATCCACGCTCAAGAGTTGAACAATTCGTAATAGAAGATCATATGTTTAACTGGGACTTTCTTATAAAAGCATTATTGTCCCGCTACGACGAATTAAGGATATGAGAATACTGAGTATAAGACTTCCAAGCCTCGAAGGCATTAGTGTAGGTATGCCGATAATCCTTACTGGAAGGCCCACATGCAATCAAACAGGGGTGATATTTTGGATTGTCTGGCTGGCTATATATACGACGTGTTACAGGGTGGATACGAATGAATCTTGAGCCGTTCCTTCGTTTTGGACCTTTTCGCCGGCGTAGAATTAAATGTGAATTCTCTTCCTTTTACCTCTTTATCTACGATATGTATGTTATATAATCTAGAGTAGCTTCGCGATGTTGACTTCTCTAGCGATCCCCACGTCCTGCGTGACGGACGTATGGGCAACTTCATCTGGGACTAACACGGGAGTTTTTCTCGGCAACCCGTTTGATTCGAGCTGCTGGCCCGGTAAGAGGGACTTATCGACGACGATCTCGCCTGCAATTTGTCCGGTCGGATATACCAGCGCATGCAATGCTTCTCCATCAAATGATGACAGCGAGACGGTATGGGCGTGCTGTCCAACGTAAGTTACACTTATACGCATTATACCAATGCCGCACCCGCTAGTTCACGCGACTAATTGCGCACAGAGGATTTTCCTGTGACCCCGGCTTCTACTCTTGTATTTCGGGTGGTCAGACAAGCAAGACTTACATCGTGACCTACACCGATCGCGCCGGAAACACCCTCACATCGCAGCTTGTGACGACCGGTGGCGTGAATGCGCATTCCATCAGAGTCGCATTTCACTCCTCCGACATCTTCGCCACGGCTACTCCCACATCGTCTTCCGCCTCATCGCCAATTCCTGTGTCAACTTCGCCTAGTGATTCCGACGACTCAGATTCCGACGGATTATCGGCAGGAGCTAAGATCGGCATAGGAATTGGTGTCGGTCTTGGTGGTTTGATATTGTTCTTGATACTCGGCTGGCTGGCATGGCGAAGATACAGAAACAAACGACTAGCTAGCGAACAGGAAGGCTCTGCTTACCAACCGTATATAGCACCTGGACAGCAACAAACTCATCCGGGAACAGTAGCGACGAAAATGAGCATGATGGACAACGCTTCCGGTATACACGAACTAGGCACGAGAACGCATATTGAACTTCCCGCGGAGGTACCGGCCAGCAGTCCAGATAGGAGAGATGGATGATACTCTAGGATCTCTTTTCGTTCAATCTTGTGCATAGCGATTTAAACCTCACATCAGTCGATGATTTTCTATGGTCAAACGGGTTATGGTACAAGGGTAGATTACCGGCTTCAAATGTGCATTTCAAACAGTTCAAGTTATAATGACCAAAGACCCTAACAGTTAAGCGGGTCCGTTAATAAATATAAGCTTCTCGTCAAGCTTCTCCAGGACTTATTGCTAATTCGATGAACTTGATGTTTTGAAGTGGGTAAAGGTTGGCATTTAGATATTTTAAGAGGCTCGGACTGATA